TTAAGAAAGGACTTGTATCGCTAAAGTTTCTTCGGAAAGAATTTTTATGGAAAATTAACTAACAAACGGAGGCGTAACAATATCTTCGATCTCGTGCCTCTTGGAAGTAAGACCACCTTGGATATTAATGCGTAGGTTGAAGACTATGTCAGTAGCGTTGACAATTGTAACATTGCGTCACAACTACGTCGGGTGTTCTAGTCTCCTCAACCTGGAGTCTGATACCAGAGTATAAAACCATTTGATATTAGATTTTGGATATCTTGTGTGCTGTCTGTATGTACTTTAATTATGTTTGTGGGGTTTTGTTTTCTTCTTGATGTGATTCTCTCAACTTTTGTGAATGTGATGTTGTTTTGTGTTAGTTCCCCCTGTATTTGTTGTATCTGAATGTTATAATTCATACCTCTTATTATGAATAATTTTGTTTCGGGTGTCAGTCGTGGTAAGTGTATCTTAATGTTTCCTGGACCTTGTTTAGGTCAGCCGGCTCAGCTCCTTTAATTAAAACGCCGTCCTTAGCTAAGCGTTTTAATGCAGTGATTTTATTATTGCGTACTTAGGTGGTTATATTCGTGTTTACTGTGTTTTTTTATTTGTTCTTGTCGATGTTTATTGGTTGTCTACGTTGCTGTTTGGTAACGAGCGCAAAACCGTTGTTGTCTGTGTTATTTGTGTTTGTCTTGTGTTAAATTTACATCCAGGGTGGTATATGTGTGTGTTTCCTTTACATTTTTTAAAATCTTCTGAATTGGTTTCTTCATCGCTTACGTTATGGCCAGGAAAGCTATTGCTATCCACAGATTGAGCTTTTGGTTTTTTTAACTATCTTCGTAAGATCTTTTTTAGCTAGACACAAGATTTTGTAAGGCTGGACTTAATTCTACATTGTTTCTATCCTTATTACTAATGCCACCTACACTGGACTTACCGTATGGATCGTATGATGTAGAGGCCTTAGGACTTGAAGAGTCGGAGTCTCTTCTCTTCGTCTTCATAGCTCTTCATGTCGCACTTCTGTTTTTCTGTTGTTTTGGTTGTTATTGTCTTCTTGTTAGTAACGTTGAGTTACTCGTAAGTTTGAAAGTTTTGTTTGTCTGTCACAGTCTCGCTAAGCGGATCACCTGTGTGCCACTTGTATGTCGCCAAGTAGTATTAGTCTGTAACGGTTCGTTGGTAAACGTCACTTTTCTCTAGATAACATTACCAGAAGCGTATATAACATAAATACCCTATCAATACACTTATGATACTTTAATCTAGGTGATATTGTAAGACCTGGTTAACAGTGACTTATTTGGTACCATACCTGGATATTTATTTTGTTGAATTTGTGAGGAGAGTGTTCATGAATATATGGATTATTTGTGGAATTACAGGTGTAAGATGTCGCTTGACTATTTCTATGAAAACAGTGATGCTATATTCGTGATTTTGTGGGTTTTGGTAATTTCTGATGAAATCGATCAATGTTTTTTTTTTTACTGCTTCTATGACAGGGTTAGTTTCTGTATTTGTAGGTACTGTTTCTGATGGTTTTGGTATGTCTGTACAACGTGTTATACAATTACATTTGCAAATATAATAGATTAAGTGTTTCAATCATAAAGCAACTGTAATACCATTGGTGAATAAATATAGTGGGGAACCAAGACATTTGTTTACAGTGTTTGTTTGTTTTCTCTCTCCCTTATTCAGCTCTGGCGAGCGAAGCGAGGCACAGCTGAGTACAAAAAATCGGGGTACAGGCGTTCTTCACATATGCGCTATACATATTACGCCGTACCGGTGCGGTAACTATCAAATACCATCACTTTCGTTCTGTCTGTGAACACATCTCCCAAACGAGTTGACCAATCTAGACCAAACTTGCCATGCTAACTTATTAGTCCAAAAGCAAATCAAATTCATATTAAACTTGAAAAATATATTGAAAAATGAAAATATTTTCTAGAATAACCGCTATATCGTTACTGCAGTACAATTGTAAATAGCTGAGTTTGGACAAAACTCAACACACAACAAAATTCTACAAGTCAAAGATCGTAAATAAATATTTAGCATTTTAGCTTGTTTCCCATAATAACCAAAATATGCAATAATAAAATATCCAGCTACAATGCGGAGAATAAAAATATTACCACTGTTTAAGCTTTCCTCTTTTGATTCACGCCATTTAAACTTCTGGTTTATACTAGGGTTAGAATAAGCACTTAAGTCTGAATTAGAGAAGTAGTTCATAATTAGAATATTTTTAAGACATTTCTTATGTCTTATGTACAATATAGTCTTCCTTAGAAACTAAATTCAAGATTATTATTAAATTTAATGCACTAAATGTACCAAGTTCAGATAGTAGGAATCTTGATTACATCTATACTGTGAAATGGGCTGCTTTGAACAAAAAGTGACGCAACTGCTTTGCTATTTCTGACAAGTTTCTTGAATCGACTGCTACACTTCCGATCTGCTTTCCCTGCTTTACAACAATTTTCTTGGAAAATGAACGCTACTGAAAATCCTCGCAAAGGTTTTGCTCATTTTTGACCAATTTGTTCTTGTTTTCATGATAAACAAAATGGAGGAGTTCAGTCTCCTTAAAATAACCTACAAAACTTGTAAGGTAAGAAATTGATAGTACATTATAAGATCTTCGAAAAGAAAGCCCATTATGGACTGAGAGTTCACTTTTACTTGTACTACAAGTTGTAGACTTTCAAAGGATCTGTGGGGCTTTCACCAAGGGCAGAGCTGAGTATGCAATTTGCCGCTTAAAAAATTAGTCAAACTGAACATCTACTAACTTAATGGAGCTTCCTTGATTTATCTTTTGCTTGGCTTGGGATGATAACTGCAAAGAAGCCCTATTTACGTTGCTGTAGTGTAAAGTAGATGATAACAAATAGTAGGCCCCTTGGGGAATGACTCGTAGAATACAAAAATATATATCTGAAATGCCGTTTATCACACACCTGTGATTTTGAATCCGAAATGGACAAATTAAGAGAACTGTGAAGTTTATATGATTTTATCACAAACACTAGGGCTGTTCATTAAATGTCAAGATATTAACGTCTGGTAAAAAAAAAAAAAAAAAAAAAAAAAAGAGTATAAATGGAACAATAGAGTTAGGCCCAATTACTGTTAAGCAAAATACCTAACTTCATTCTGTTAAAAATCGCTGTAAAATGTAAATTTTATATTAAAATATAGGAAGTATCTCGCCAACTTAGTTAAGCTTTTATGGTCTTTGTTCTGAATAGCTGTAGTTAAAAAGATTAATATTCTTCTTAATTTTTTATAAATATTCAAATTATTTTCTAGTTATTTTGAAAATAAAATAAAAACTTGGATTAATTTGCTCATTTTGTGCAATAATAAATCAGGTCGCTCTTCGATTAACAGTCTTATATCCACTTATTTACATTAAAAGCGAAAACTTGGTATAAAAAGAATACACAGTAACAATTATAGTAAATAATCAAATGAAAAAAAAAATATTTTATTAATGAATAACTAAATAACATATAATGAAAACAGCAGTATGTTGCTGCCGACCGGTTCACTCCCTTTCGTCGATGGTTTCAAATTAGGAACAGAGCCACACTACTTAGATTTGCACGCTGACAAATACGCTGTGATAGGAGTCTTTAATTTTGTGGAGGAAAGTCTGTGCTTTGATTTGTGCTAAAAAATCCTCCACCGTGTAAACATAAGAAATTTCAAGCGGTTCGTCAAAATGTTAAAGGTAAAACGCGAAATGCTTTATAGCTAAGTGTATTCAGGTTCATTATGCCCCAAAATTGACAATATACTTTAAAAACATATAAGGAAATTAAGTAATAGTAATTTGGTGAACTCCATATATATTTTCATTATCACAGATAAATTTATTTTGTATTATTCATGCTGTTTACTGAACTTCCACATATTCTTTCCAACAATAATAATAATGTCCAGCGTTTTGGCCAATGCTACTCTTTCTCATTACTCTGCACAACACTGAATTAAATTCAAAATTAATATTAATTCAACTTGTTTCTAACAAAAAAAGAGAACAAATTTAATTTTTATATTCGATATGTCTTTGTTTATAACAAAGTACACCAGTAATAGTACTAATAAATGCAAATAAAGCCTTGCAATTGCAGACGCTACCGAAGTTAAACTAACTATATTATTTTGTAGGTGAAATTTATTATGAAATCATTTTTGTTGAAAGTACTTATTTCTGCTTAGAATCGTAAGATTTACAAATACAAATAAGTGAATACGGTGATTTTAATTTTTAATTTGCAAAATATATTAATTAATTCTCCCTGTCCCGCTGTTACCAGATGGCAGCACCACCATTACTACCGACTATGTATTCTTTAACAAAGCCCGCCATAATGGTTGACGACAGAAGAAAAACATTCGATATTGTTTTACCTTATAACATTAAATTAAGACATTTTAAAAAGGTAAAAATTTTGAAAAATTAATTTAGTATAAATACTGACAAAACACTCTAGATAAAAACCCAATACAAAAAAATAAAGCGATATTGTTCCTATAACATTCGCATTCATTCAATTTCACAAACAATATACCCTAAATACACTGTATACAAGATACTACTAGCACTACGGAACGAGTAATGCTACTGCTAACCAGTGTGAGTTACGAACACTAGCCTACATTACAGTGTGAAACGAATAGTTTCCATTACAAATATACTCTTAAATGTCAGGTTTTACATCACTAACCTTCTGCGTTGTCTGTATAGTTGATTCGTACTGGAGTTCAGTCTTCATTTCAGACATTGTCTGTCTGAGTTAAAATCAAGAAAATCCAGTAAAAATGATGATTACTATATTCCCCACACTCCGGCTACTTCGAAGGACAGCGTGGGTCACGTGACAGATGTTTTAACGCCGCCAGTGGGCTAAAACAGAAGCACGTGGTAAACCCGCGGAATTTTAAAAAATCTTGCCAAATAGAAACACAAAACACTTTGGAGGAAGAGGTCCGAGTGAACCTGACCCTCCCAGGTCGCGAACAACGACTAAACGCCGAAACAGCAACGACACAAAATAGTAATGAAGAAATTATACAACTGACAACAGCTACCACAAACATGGTAGCTGACTTTATGCAAAAAATAAACAGACCAAACAGAAACAGAGATATATTAGACATGATAATCACTCTAATTAAAAATACAATTAAATATTAGAAAGAACTATGTTTTTAAAATCCACACAATTTTTATATCGGCTGTACATTGTAAAATTTTTGTTTATATTATTCACAACGTTCCATCTCAATTCTTGGATGCCACCTGATGATCCAGGTAAACCTGGTGAAACGTTGTGAATAAAATAAACAAAAGTTTTACTATTTACAACCGATAAAACTTGTGTGAAATTTAAAACAATTAATACCATACTTTATAATCAAGATCAAGAAATAAACATTGAGAGCATGAACGAATTCATAATTCTCCATACTTACATACCGGGCGGCTTTGTTTCCAAGCAGCACGAAATCGATGACATAGCAAATCATACCTTAGCTGATATAATCTTCATTAAGGAAACAGGAGAATTCAATATGCCGAGTTATCACATAATTCAGAAAGATAGACCTAATAAAGAATCGCCTGAACGAGGCATAATGCTATTACATACAAAAGACCTTTCTGTAAATACAATACATTTTAACTCTATAAATTAAAATATTGTATGCAACATGCTCCAGCGTAATAATCAAACGACAACAATAGCAGGAATTTACAGCTTTCCAAGTGTATCGCTTGATATACAGCTCCTGAATAATAATAAAGTACATAACAGCAAATATATAATTATGGAAGATCTAAACAGCAAAAACATTAGTTTTGGCTGTACCGTAACAAATACAAATGGAAGACGTCTTCTGGATTATATGGAAAACACAGACACATTTTTATTAAATGATACAACACCAACACATACCAGTAATTTTCATCATACTCGTGGCATACTAAATTTCTGTATGTGCTATACATCTGTTCTTCCATTTTTTTATATCATTCATTGGGGATGAAGAGGCAGACAGCGATCATTTACCGATTTGTGATGTCTTTGATCTCGCACCAAACACAAACAAAACAAAA